CTAAAGTTTTGAAGCTAATCAGAAGACCTTGAGATTAACTTTGGATCTGTCAGATGGCTATAATGGAGTCTAGGTACCCATTCTTGCTAACTCTATCAACTTGTGGAAACTTATAATGGTTAGAGACGGCTTGAATGGGTAATGAAGAAAAACTATAATCTAAGTTTAACATAACAGAAAATGTACAACGTTTCGACAAGGTTTTGTCATCATCAACCATGTCGAAACGTTGTACATTTGCTGTTAAAACTTATATCAAAGTTTTTCTTCATTACCCATTCAAGCCGTCTCCAACCATTATTAGTCTCAAAGTGGGTTCCTCGTCACCGAATTTGTGGAAACTTATTTGAACATACCATCTACCAGGTATTGGGTCATTGTGGAAATTTACTTGAACGTACAGTCTACTAGACAATGGATCAACTTGTACTTCACATCTACTGGGTAAACATAGATCCCTTGGTAAGTACTGGATACTGTAGGCTAAATCGTAGAATTCTACTCGTACTTAACTTCTAGCAGACATTAATTAAGTTAATAATTTTGTACACAGCATGCACCTTCCTTAAACACACGGTCACAACACTTAAGTTTATTGAATATGTCCAAGTTATAATACAAGAAGAATACGCTAAGGTTTTCTACTCACAAATCCCCACACCATCGAATATTCTGTTCATTTTGCAGACTGACCGGATACGTGCAACTAAATCACGTGGGTTTCGTTAGTTCCGCGTGCCCACAGTTCTTTCTGTCACGAAAACCCACCCTTAAAACCTAGCCTAGAAAAAAGTGACTAAATTCGTAATAGCACTGTTGATGTAAAATGTTTTTAAAGTATATAAAAATACTTATGTTTTAAAAAAAAATACAATTGGTCCTTGATAAGTTAATACTCATAACTAGAAAAAAAAAAAAAAAAACGTCATTGCGTGTTATCTTTATGGGGAACCCTGGGATTCCACGGAACACAGTTTCAAAACCACTGATCTAATGCATATGAGTGCACAAAAAAAGATACTGGCCATCAGGGCTGTAGAGATTAAAAACACTAAATACATGTTCCAGGAATTACACGTGTATCGTGTTAAAATACACTTCTATAAACACTGCGAAACCTTACCTTCCTCGGTGATCCTGACACAAATGACAGCTCGTGGAACAGAAATGTTTATATACATATCGCGTTATATCCACGTCATACAAACTACTTCAGCGGACAATGAGTATTTCCTCGAAGACTTCCAAAGATCCAGATTTAAAAGACAACTTGTACAACTGAAACTATTGCCTTTGTTCAACACAGAAGCCCTTAAACCCAAGATGCGGAACGTAGCTCGTGTTTCTTACAAGTTAAATCCCACGACACCTAGTCACCATTACGAATATTCTGGAGACAATAACACGTATTGAAGTTAGAATGTTTTCTCAGCTTGAACTAAGTGGTCAAAAACAAACAGTTTCTAAACGTTTCTTTCATCCTCTGCTAACACGTAGCATATAGTTTCACTTTCAATTCACACCAACGCATATTTACGTTTAACAACGTTAGGCCTATTCTTCTGTCAAGGTACTTAGCCGATAGTGAAAAAATCAACCCACTAATACGAATAAAATATTTCGATTCACCATCAGTAAAGAAAGACCTATTCTTCCGGTCAAACTACTAGCCAATTGTGACAAATCAACCCACTAATAGGGAAAAAATAAAAAATTGATTCCCATTTAATAAAGTTAGGTCTTTTCTTTTAGTCAAGGGTCCGGCATGGTCAGGTGGTCAGGGCGCTCGACCCGCAATAACTCCTATTGGTAAACACATCTGTGCGTAAACATGAATTAGTTCTAGTTAGATCTCAAGAAAAATAATTTAGTAAGTAAAAAAATAAATAAACCGACATTAATTATATCTTTATTAAAATGTTTGTTTGGAATTTCGCGCAAAGCTACACGAGGGCTATCTGTTCTCGCCGTCCCTAATTTAATGTAAGAAGGCAGCTAGTCATTACCACCCACCGCCAACTCTTGGGCTACTCTTTTACCAACGAAAGATTGACAGTCACATTATAACGTTCCCATGGCTGAAAGGGCGTGCATGTTTGGTGGGATTCGAACCCGCGACCCGCAAGGAATCAATGCCTCTTATAAACAGTCGTTAACAAAGATGACTAGTGTAATTACGTTACTTGAAGATCAGTTATTGTTAAAATATCATTACTCAACCGAATACAAACTGAATTCCGGGACTAGCGGAGAGCGTCATGTTACTATAAGGTACCTCTGTTAAGTCTTTTACCAACGAATAGTGGAATTGACCACAAATTATAACGGCCCCACGGCTGAAAAGGCAAGCATGGTTGGTGGATTCGAACCCTCGACCTTCAGATTGCGAGTCGAGCGCCCAAACCACCTGGCCATGCCGGGACAATTTAGTAAGTAAAAAATAAATAGACCAACATTAAATATTTTTTGATTAAATATGCTTCTTTTGTTGAATTTCGCCCAAAGTTATTCAAGGGCTATCTACGATAGTCGTCCCTAATTTTGAAGTGATAAGACTAAAGGTAAGGCAACTAGTCAACACCACCCACCGCCAACTCTTGTACCAATAAATGGTCACATTATAACTCTTCCACGGCTGAAAGGGTAGAACATGTTCAGTGATGGTATACGAACCCGCAGACTGCGAATTGAACGCCCTAACCACCAACCCTTGGATTAAAACTGGCCAATAGAAACAGTCGGTATATAAATATTTATCACACACAACACAGATGGATATTTATAAGGAAAATACTATTTTTTGAATATATGTTGGGGGTCCTGGTATGTTCCGCTAGTAATCTGTATCTCTTAACAACAAATTGTTGTCCAAACTCTGTGTTTGACCGGCGTCTAGCTGACCTATCGCTCTCCACAACATGGTCATGTACAACTGTTGGGGGTCCTGGTATGTTCCGCTAGTAATCTGTATCTCTAAACAACAAATTGTTGTCCAAACTCTATGTTTGACCGGCGTCTAGCTGACCTATCGCTCTCCACACCATGGTCATGTACAACTGTTGGGGGTCCTGGTATGTTCCGCTAGTA